GGTCACAGCATTAGAAGGTTGAGAACCACTGCCTTAGAGCCTCAGGATTGACCCATTTAGCTGGTGGACAGGGGCCTCCCTGTGACCTCATTGGCATAATCAGTCCTCATTATGAAATCAGTCAGCCAAATCAACCTGGCTTTCTGTCAAATGAAGTTTGGCTTCATTTTTTTTTTTTCATTAAAAGGCAGGTGTTCCCTCTGACAGCACCTGTTCTGAATGTTATGCAAAGTAACGCAGAGATGAGTAGCAGGTAGTTAAATAGGTAGGCAGGCGTGGAGGTTGAGGTGGGCATCGTGGGCACGGGAGCAGGCACTCCCGTGGCTCTGTTATGAGGCTCCCGCGGCCCTCTGTGGTGGTCCTGTGTGCTCTGTGAGGGTGTTCTACCCTGAACACTTATTTCCTGGGTCATTTGGAACAAGCCATTTATTCAGCTGCTTACCACCAGGTCCATTCCTTAGAATCTTTTTCTCAGCAGGTTCGGGTTCCTGAAGTGTAGCATACTACTGCAGATGGCACCCTCTTCTTACTGAGCCGCCGACACATACAGGCTGCAGGTTTTGCAAGCTGTCTGTGCCAGCCCTGCATTAGAGTTGGGTGGGCCTCAAACCCAGGAAGCCAAGTGAAGTAGAGTTAGAGATGTGGTAATTGACAGGTGACCCAAAAGAAACCAGTGAGCTCCCCAATTCTCTGAGTTAGGTGCCGCAGCATGAGAGATGGGCTATATTAACCACTGGGAAAGGAGGCGGCAAAGATGGAAGAGTTTAACAGAATATTGGTGAAGGACACATAAAGCACAGCTGGCCCTGGTCTGTTCAGGTGATGGGAACAGGTGGTAAAATACCCTTCAGCCTGAATCTGGGTGTGGTTGTTAGAAACAGACTGGACCACAGAGGGCCTTCTTTGATAGGTGCTCTCTTGTTTGGAGCCAGACCCTCTTGAGTGTTCTTCCTTAAACCTGGATTGTGAGGGTTCTCTCTGCAGCTGTCTCCTCTTTGTACCCTGCCTCTGAATACTCAAACTGCTCTGATAGCAGCCTCATCCATTCAATGTTGGGAGATTAGATTACCCAGCTCCATTCGAGCTCCGCCTCTGCGTGAGAGCCTGGAAACTCAAGGCAGGAAGCCGTGGCAGTGCAGCAATTGCCTCCTCTACACGTTTCTCAGGAAGCACTGGCCTTTGTGTGTGTTCAATGGCTTGAAAGCATTGCTTCATATAGCCATAGTTTTTTCTTGTTATAGGCAGGAAGGTGTGAATCAGTTCCTGATAATCCTGACTGGAAGCCCTGGTGTTTGTAATTCAGCTCTGTGATATGGAGAAGTTTGATTAAAAGCCAGTACCTACTACATGAGGGAATTTTGTAAGCGGGAACCCCAAGCATCACTATCTCCTTCATTTTTCTGCCTTTCTGTGCCTAAACAGGGTTTAAGTGTATTGGTATATTAATTTGTTAGATATGGCTGTGCCTTGGTAGGTAGAGCACTTGTCTTGCTTGGATAAGGCCCTAAATTCAATCCCTGGTATTACACACACACACACACACACACACACACAGAATTGATGTGTTTATTTAGGGTCTTGGCTCTAGACTGGCCCAAAGTAGCAAAAACAGTTCTATTAACTGTCCCCATTTTGCACATAAGAATATTGAATTAGAAATGGGTCTGGTGGGGGGCTGGAGAAATGGCTCAGCGGTTAAGAGCACTGACTGTTCTTCCAAAGGTCCTGAGTTCAATTCCCAGCAACCACATGGTGGCTCACAACCATCTGTAATGAGGTCTGGTGCCCTCTTCTGGCCTGCAGGCATACATGCAAAACAGAATATTGTATACAAAATAAATAAATAAATATTAAAAAAAATGGGTCTGGTGGCAAAGGCCTATAAATCCAGCTTCTTGCGGGGTATAGCAGGAGGATCAAGTTCAAGGTTGTCTGGATATAGAATGGGTCCAAAGGCAGCCTGAACAACTTAGAGACCCCATCTGGAAATGAAGGGTTTTGTTTGTTTTGTTTGTTTTATTTTGTCAAGACAATTTCTCTGCGTATCTCTGGCTGTCCTGGAACTCACTCTATAGACCAGGCTGGCCTCAAACTCAGAGATCCGCCTGCCTCTGCCTCCCTGAGTGCTGGGACTAAAGGCATGTGCCACCACTTCCTGGCTTATAAAAAGTTTTATTTATTAAGTGCTTGTGCAGAGACTCTAGATTCCGTCCTTAGTAGGGAACAATATGTGTGTGGTGGGGATAGAAGAACAAAAGAAAGAATATTGAATCGGTAATAAAGATTATTGATTTTTATTTTTATTTCTTTGGGGTTTTTTTGAAATGGGGTTTCTCTGTGTAGCCCTGGCTGTCCTAGAACTGGCCTTGAATTCACAGAGATCCTCTTCCAAGTGCTGGGATTAAAGGCGTGCGCCACCGCAGCCTGGCCACAGCCGGGCTGGTGGTCCTGGGTGCTATGAGAAAGCTGAGCAAACAGTGAGGAGCCAGCCAGCCAGCAGCACTCCTTCCTCCACGGCCTTTGCACCAGTTCCGCCTCCTGTTCCTGTCCTGACTTCCTTAGATGGACTGTGATTAGGACGTGTAAGATGAAATAAACTTTTCCTCCCCAGGTTGCTTAGGTCATGGTGTTTTATCACACCAATAGAAACCCTAACTTAGACAATCTTAGAGTTAGAAGGAATTGGGGATGTTTGTAACTCATTGGTAGGGATTTGCCTAGTGTTTATAAAGCCTTGGATTCAGTCTCCAGTATGCTTTAAAAACAAAAAAAGTCCTTGACCCAGGGAGGAGTAGTGGTGCACACCATTAATCCCAGCACTCTGGAAGCCAAAGCAGGTGGATCTCTGAGTTCAAGGCCAGCCTGGACAATGGAGTGAGTTCCTGGACAGCCAGGGCTACACAAAAACCCTGCACTGAAAAAAAGAAAAGTCCTTCACCCAGTTTGGAACACCAGCAGACCCGGGCTGCTCTAGTCTTTGGCGTTTTATAGTGGGCAGCAGTCAGCAGAGAGATTTGGACCCTCCGTGCTGAGAAAGGGACTGCGTCCTCAGCCCTAAACAGGACAGCTGTAGTAACCTCCACCACCAAAGCCAATGGTCAGGGGACATTTTTTTTAATTACTAACTTATTTATTGATTGATTATGATGTTCTGTCTGCATGTGTGCCAGCACACCAGAAGAGGTCACTACATCTCATTATAGATGGCTGTGAGCTGGGAATTGAACTCAGGACCTCTAGAAGAGCAGCCAGGGCTCTTAACCTCTGAGCCTTCTCCCCAGCCTCAGCTCAGGGAGCTTCTTAGAAGATGAGGTAGAAGGAATGCAAGGGCTGGAGGATGGGGTGGAGTGTTGTGAGCGGAGCTTCTACACACACCTGACTGTGAGGGTCACGAGGTTACCTGCTCCAGATCAAACAAGATCCTGGTATACAAAGTCTCAAGACCCCACCCCGGCTGAGACACTACTGGCTGATCACTTTATAGGTTTCTCACGCTCCAGTTGGATGACCCCAGGCTTGTGCACCTGTGGGCAGCACTAACTGGAGTTAGTGGGTTATTTACCAAAAAAAGAAAAAGTATAGGGTGTATAGGGGCATGAGGGAAACTAGGGAAATGAGTAGATTATTTCTTTGGATACATTTAAGGAATTCTCAAAAATAAAGGAAAATTTATAAGCAAAGTTATATAACAAAGATAACACGTGTACGTGTGAATGTGTTTATTTGTGGGTTTGCGTGTATGAGTACTTCTCACATCTGCAGAATAAGCTGAAACTGAAACTGTGATGCGGAGGGCTGGAGCTTTTGAAAGTTGGTATCCAACTAGGTTCTTCCTTTTTTTTTTTTTTTTTTTTGAGACAGGGTTTCTCTGTAGCTTTGGAGCCTCTCCCTGGAACTAGCTCTTGTAGACCAGGTTGGCCTCAAACTCATCTGCCTCTGCCTCCCGAGTGCTGAGATTAAAGGTGTGGACCACCACCACCGCCCGGCCCACCTAGGTTTCTTTTCTGGGGGTTGTAGCAGTGGGAGAAGCTGGAGGTTCCCCATCCTTTCCCAAGAATCTAATGGACTTTTGGGGGGGCTTACATCTGTTAATGTGATTTTTATGTGTGTAAATATGTTTAGGTATATATTTGTGGGCACACACGTGGAGATCAGAGGACAGTTTGAGGGAGTAGGTCCTGGGCTCCCCCTGTGGATTCGAGATCACACTCAGATCAGCCGGGTTTGGCAAGTGCCATTACCAACAGAGCCGTTTCCCCAGCCTTGTATCTTTAAAATAGAATGATTATGAACATTTTGAATCACCTTTGTGGGGGATGATAGTTGGTCACTTGTATTTGTCTGCTGTGAAACTAAAAACAACTAAAGATTAATTATGGTCATTTGCCCAGCTAAGTGGACAGACCTGAGTCCAGGGCCTAGTTCGAGGGCGGGGTGGGGGTGGGGCAGAGGAGTTCGCGTTCAGCTGTGATCTCAGGAAACAACTACCCAGTAGTCTTGCCTTCTGCTAGGCTTGAGTTGGAGAAAATTGAATAATGGGGGGGGGAGAGAGTGATGCTAAGTGACTTAGGAGCTGTTGCCAAGGACCCTCGATCACGTTGAATGTGGTGAGTGGCATTCGGGAAGTACCCTGGGGAGAGCGGGAAGTTGTCCCCAAAGACAAGCCTGCTCAGATTCTGCAAAATGAACCTGGTCTGTACCTCCCAGCGGACTAGCTGGGCTGCAGGCAGGAAATACTCCGCCTGTGATTGGAGGGTTGGTGGTCGGGATAATGAACCCGGTAGTGTCGGCAGAGGTGATTGGCCAGGCCCTGCTGCAGTGAGAATGCAGACTAGATGCTCTGTCCTGAGCTTGCGGAATGAGCGAGGGCGGCTGAATGACTGGGAGCCCCAAGTTGTTTCCGTCTCAAGAGAGGTCTGTCTGGATATCATTTTTTGCATTATAAAAAGAAAAAAAGAGCCAAGCCTTTGATCGTCCGTCACCTGACGAAGTGAGTTTTGATTGAAGTAGCCCAGCTGCTCTCCTTATTGCTAGCAGCCGGGGAGGAGGCTCCCTAAGTGAGCTACTTCTCAAGCTAGGCACGAGCGAATTTGAAAAAGCAGGAAACAGCCCCTGCTTGTAGAGCTTCAGCCTGGCAACTCCCAGCTAGTATTCCAGACAGCTGGGTAGCTAGAGACCCTTGGTATTGTGGTCACATCCCTAAGAAGTGAACAGTCATCAGCAGTGGCATTTGGAGGAAGCCGGCATGCTACAGATGCTGTGGCATTTTCTGTCTAGCTTTTTCCCTAGAGCTGGGTGCCAGGATTCCAGAGAGGGCATCGATCATGGAGTCAAAGGCACTCAGACCCCTGCTCGGGGAGACCAGATGCCCACCTTTTTGGGGAAACAAAACGGAAGGGCTGAGGCCACGGAAAAGAGACCTACCATCTTGCTGGTGGTCGGACCTGCAGAACAGTTTCCTAAGGTAACAGCACCTTCAAGAGGACCTTCTAGTTTAGGGGCTGGGCTGGTATCATTTTCCTGGAAGGGGGAAAAATGAGTGTGGGGGGAGAACTAAAAAAAAGAAAAAGAAAAAAAAAGTTCGGCGTTGGAGAATGTTGAGTGATGAAGAAGGCCACAAGATTTGGTCCAAAATGTCTGTCATCACTGCAAACTGGTTGTTGAGAGGAAAGGTTTACTTCAGTAGGTTAGCCTCTGGGTTTGTCTGTTTGACTGAAGAAGCCATTTGAAAGTAAGGGATGAACTAAAGTATAGTGTCTTCATTTACCTAGAGTATGAGAGGACAGTTGAAAGAGACGGTCCCTTGAAAGGGGACAGTTTTTTTTATTTGTTGTTTTTTGTTTTGTTTTGTTTTACAAGACAGGGTCTCACTATGTAGCCATGGCTGCCCTGGAACTCATTATGTAGACCAGGCTGGCCCCAGCTCAGAGGTCTGCCTTTCTCTGCCTCCTAAATGCTGGTGCCAGGTTAAACGGGGCAGATCTTGTCAGCTTTATGAAGGTCACATTCCCCTTGCCTGGTGGGTCATGATTTGTTTACCTGAGCTCCCAGAGGAAGGTCAAGGTTGGGGATGGATCCTAGGAGAGCCTGGAGTCGTGGAAGAGTAGAGGCTGGTGACTCTTGAGTTGACCACAGCCACCAGGGTCAGCCAGGTGTCAGGGCCTTTCACACTTGTGTGCTGTCCTCACAGGAGCCAAGGTAAGTGACAGCACTCCAGCTGGAGGCTGGGGAAGTGAAGTACAGAAAAGTTCAGTAAATCGCCCAGAACTTAAGGGGAAGAGGACTGAGACTTGATCCCAGTCTTTTTGAAACCTTGTTGACTTCCCTTCAGAGAACTGTTCAACGGGACTGACCGAGCGCTCACTTAGAACAGACGGGGCTGTCTGCAGCAGGTGCAGCCTTACTCAAGCTCTGAGTTGTTCCAGAATCTTTCTTTTCAGTCAGGGCAAGGAGAAGTCTCCCCCTTGTTTGACATACGATAGATGCACCCAAAATGTCACATTGAATCCCCCTGTAAATGCTTGCCTAGCTTGCACCAGTAGATGGGGACTTTGCTGTGACAAGTTTTGCAGTAGTTGAGCATTGACATCAAGGGGAGTCCCTGCATAAGGGATTGTGATGAGCTCCCGGTTGTCCTGCCTGAGGCATTTGAGCTTACTGTACCACAAGAGGATGCCACTTTCTCCCGCAGACCAGGAGCAGTCGTCTACTCATTTGTGAGATACTCGTGCTGAGTCCTGCTCATCATCTGCCCTGAATTAGCTGGCTACCTTTTAAAAAGATCACTTTTAGGGGAGGGTCTTGGAGACAGGGCTTCTCTGTTGTGAAACCTGTCCTGGAACTCGCTCTGTAGACCATGCTGGGGAAAGATCACTTTTTAAACTATAACAATAACTGCTCTACTTCCTAGCTTCCTATGGGTACTCTTTGTCAGGTTTGCCTTGGGTGGGACTTTCTAGCCTGGCCTGCAGAGACCCACACCATTTACTGTCTCTGTTCCTGGGAGGGGAAATGGGTTGGTGGGCTTCATGGGGAGGCAGGAGGGAGACAGAGCAGCAGGCACGGCTCAGAAGAAGAGAGAGCAGAGCACCTCTGATCAGCGCAGACTCTGAAAGTCGGTACTGAGGACTGGCAGCACTCAGCGTTCACACTGCACAGAGTGCCCGTGAGATGGATCAGCCCCTGCCTTTCTCAGCAGGAAGCCCCCAGCAAGCTTGGGAAACGGGCTGGAGAGGCTTCAGTTCTCAGGCTTCTCGTTGTCCACTGCAGTGTTTCATTCTCACCCCACCCCCACCCCCACGTAAATGTGCCTGTGAGTCGGGTTCCTGCAGGCTCTTATAGGAACTACTCCAGTTTCCCCTTTATCTTTGTCTCACAGTTAATCCGAAAGTTGGGAAAGAAAGCCATTTGTCTGGAGTGGGAGGTGCGCTTGCACAGGGGAGCTTAGATCCTGAGGGGCCACCAGGATTGTGCTCATTGTGTGTGTAATTACCAAGTGTAGGCAGGTTTCATTGGAAACCTGCTACACTGGGCTGTCATGGCAACCTGATCATAAAATGACAGAGCAGCCAATGAGATCTGAGAGCCTCGAGGGTGGGGCTTGCCAGGCTCCTTCACATAATGCTCTGGCTTGGTCTGAGTCATTGCAGAGATGCAGGAGTTACTTTCCGACTCAGTGCTACCAGAAGCATCGTTCCTGCCCTTAGTGTGTTCCAGCCCTAACCAGAAGTGGGCACGGGATAGAGCGGCAGGGTGGCAAGGCTGGCCGTGGTCCTGGTAGATGTACATGAAAGGAATTGCTCCTTTACCTATGGAGTGAAACCCAGTGCCACAGATTCCAGGGGTTCTAGTGCTGCTGCCATTGTTCTCGCACATCAGTCACAGGAATGGGCATCCGAGGATGGGAAACTGATTTGGGTCACTGAACTAGATAGAGTAAGGAAGGAGAGCAGAGCGTCGCACGGTGTTCTGTGATCAGGTCCCAAGGGCCATGAGCTGCCTTGGAATGACAGGAGTGGGACCCAAGTCTGCTGTCGCTGTGCCTCGTGTGTGGCTCACGTTTGATTTGTTGCTCACGGGGGGTCTAAGTGTGGGGTTCCAGGTCTTTCCTGGAAACTGGACTTTAAAATCTCCCCCCCTTTGGAATTGGCTGTGAGCCTGCGTCCTGTCACCAGTAGACTTGGGACTTGTGCAAGCCAGGTCGTTCTGTAGGGTGTGTGCTCCAGGAGAGAGGACTGAGATGGCTGCAGAGACTCCTGTGGCCTGCGGTCTGAAGTCACAGCACGTAGCAGTTGCCTCAGGCATCAGACACCTGGAGATTGACTCTTTCTGGGAGAGGCCGTTTCTGTGTTGAAGATGGAGTCTGGATTAAAAGATGGGTGTTTAGTTAAGCAAACACCGTGCGAAGACTCCTGCTTTGCTCTACTTTCTTTCAGGGAATGAGGTATGGACACAAGGACAAAGTCTGCTTGTGTAGCCCAGGCTGGTCTCCAAGTCAGTCTCCTGGGCCTAGAGATTCAGATAAGCACCACCATGCAAGGCCTCTACTGAGCACAATCGGTGCTCAAAAGAAAAATGTTCCAAAGTTTCTTAAACTAATAGTGGTGGTTCATGTCTGTAATTCTAGTACTTGGAAGACCAAGGCAGAAGAGTCTAAGCTCAAAGCCAGCCTGGGTTACATAGAGAAACTGTCTCAAAACCCCAAAACAACTTATGTTAGGCCTGTGGCTGTGTTTCAGTTGTAGAGCACTTGCCTGGTATTCAAGGCCCTGGGTTCAATTCCCATCACCACAGAAAATGAAACAACTAATGTTGGAATAGAATTGATGTTCACCGTAAAATAGCATGCTGACAAGCACTTGAAGAGCATTTCAGAGAACATTCCTTGCCTCTAAAACTATTGGTCTATGTAGGATAATGACCTTTGTTATAGTCAAGGAAATTCTTTTTATTAATTTTTACTATATGTATGTATGTAGGTAGGTATGGACGTTTCTACTGCTTATGTCCATGCACCATGTGCACGCCTGGTGCCCTTGGAGGCCACAAAAGGGTGTTAGATCCCCTGGAACTACAGTTGCAGATGGCTGTGAGCCACCATGTGGGTGCTGGGAATTGAACCCAAGTCCTCTGGAAGAGCAGCCAGTGCTCTAACTACTGAGCCATCTCTCTAGTCCCCCCCCCCCCCACACACACACACCGTCTTTTTTGTTTTTTGTTTTGTTTGAGACAGTTTCTCTGTGTGTAGCCCTGGCTGTCATGGAGCTTGCAGAGCTCCACCTGCCTCTGCCTCTCCCAAGTGCTGGGATTAATAGTATGTGCCATCACTGCCTTTTTTTTTAATTACATTTGTGCACATGTGTGAGTGAAGGTTGGAGGACAACTGGCAGGCATCTGCTCTGTCCACCGTGCATCCCAGGAATCAAACTAAGTGGTAGGTTTGGTGGCAAGTAGCTTTCCTGCTGAGCCGTCTCATCAGCCTTCACCTAAAAACTTCTTCTGGTGAAGACCAGGCATGCAGGGTCTGAAGCTGTAGCCTCTCTTGTTAGGACCCCAGCAGTAGACTTAAGGTGTGTGTTAAAATAGCTCCAAGGCAGAACATTCTGGATTGGACAGTTTCAGAGGTGGCTGAATCTGAGCAGGAACCTGCCTGGATTTGCCTTCTCCTCAGATCCAGCGCACACCAAGGCCTGGATTTGCAGCCTTAAGTCTCAGGAAACCTGGAATGCCCTCTCCATTGTTAGAGTCTGTTTTCACTGTTACACTGTTATACACAATGATACAACAGTGTCTTAATCTAGAATCTTCTTAGCAGTTTTATTCTGTATAGACCAGGCTGGCTTTGAACTCACAGAGACCCTCCTGAGTGCTGGGATTAAAGGCATGTAAGTATCTTCACAGATTCTTAACAAAACACTTTGGAGTTAATCCTTCACTTTTGCTGATTCTCAAATGGTAATTCCCCATTATAATCCATCCCAGGAGTGACAAGGCTCAGTCTATATTAGGAAGGGATGAAGGAATAAGGGATGTGCCATAGAAGGAATGGGGTGGGGCCGATCCTGTCCTGTCATAGTGACATGATCCCGCCCTTGGCAGCTCTCAGGTGTAGGGAAGGAAGGAGTTGTAAGAGAACGCAGGCTGGCATGTAAAGAATGATGTGTGTGCAGGTTGGAGAGCCGGCTCAGCAGTTAAGGGCATGTGCTGCTTTTGCAGAGGACCTGAGCTCCCAGCACCCACACCAGGCTTCGCCATACCACTTGTAAACCTAGCTCCAGGGAATCTGGTTCCTCTGGCCTCTGAGGGCGCCTGCATGCACATGACTTGTGCACAGCACACACACACACACACACACACACACACACACACACATTAAAAATAATACAATTTAAAAATAAAAAAATCAGATCCTTCAAGGACCAGAGATCTTCTGTCTTAAAGTGTGAATCTAGTGCTGGGCTGCCAGTGGACATGGTGATAATGGGCATGCCCACAGCCACATGACAAAATATTTTCAGTGAGAACACATAGGTGAGAGGGTCTAGTTTAATTCCAGTCTTCCCCTCTCTTCTTGCTGGTGAGTAAGCCTTGTGCTACTCATTTTATTAGTTTTTGAGATTAGGTTGGCTTTAAACTCTGAACGGTGCTCCTGCTTCAGCCTCCTGAATTACCATGCCCAGCAACTCGTCAGATTTGTGCTACTGTGAAAACAGTTTAGGGAGGAGGGACTTGTTTTGGCTTCTGTTTTAAGTCCATCATGATGGCCAGGAGGCAGAGAGAAGAGAGAGAGAGCCTACAGCAGCCTGCTTTCTGCTTTCACCCTTTACTCCATCTGGAGCCCCATCCTGCTCCTGGGGTGGACCTCTCTGCTCAGCTGGTCTTCTCTGAAATTACCTGGACATACCCAGAGGTGTCATTACTAACCTCGAACCCAGAGCCTTCAGTGTGGCCCACAAGCATTCTACCCCTGAGCCTCTATCCCACCCCGTTTTTGAGACAAGGTCTTAAAATGAAGCTTAGGGCCTCAAACTGGAGGTTCTCCTTTAGCTCCCCAAGTGCTGGAACTGTAGCTTGAGCCTCTGTGCCTAACTCATTTAATCGTAGTTAATTTAAAAAGGCTTCAGGATGGCACAGCAGAGTTCTTAAAGCTCTGATCAGCAAGGTTCTGAGTGCTCTGAGTGGGCTTGGGCTTGATTGAGGACCATGAGTCTCACCCTTGGCTAACCAGTGATTGATGGACGCGGAGTGGTTCCCAGGTTCTGCATGCTTGTGGATTGTGGAGTCTGTGTTCCAGGACCGCTGGGGATGTGGCTCTCAGGTTCCTCTCTCGCAGTGAGTAGCCTGGGTCAGTTTTAAATGGACACTGGTTCAGCCTCTATTTCCACTGAATTTTCAGTTGGGAATTATTTACTCAGGAGAAAGCTGCATAGTATGACGCATTTGGGGACCTTGTATGGAAACAGACTGTTGGCTGTTTGTTTACTTTCAGGAATTGACAGGCAGGGGTGAAGGTTTGTTTGGGCATGGGACTGCACCCTACCTAGACGCTTAGGCAGTGCCGGCTGCCTGGGTTCCAAGAGTTAACCGCTGCAAGCTGTGACGTTAGTCCTGATCTTTGCTCCTCTTGAGCAACCTGATATTGTCTGCTGCCGGGGCTGTGCTCATTGGCTGCTGGCCGCACTACAGTGGGCGGATTTTTTTTTTTTTCAATTAAGTAAAAGGGCAGGACTTAAGCAGCCAGTGACAGCTGAGGCAAGACATCTCTTGTGCCACTTCCCTGGGAACTCCAGTGTTTCCCACTTGACTCCTAGTGGAGGCTGAGCACCCCGTCTCGCCAGCATGCTCTGCCTGTGCCTGTATGTGCCGGTCATTGGGGAGGCCCAGACTGAATTCCAGTACTTTGAGTCCAAGGGGCTTCCCGCAGAGCTGAAGTCCATCTTCAAACTCAGCGTCTTTATCCCCTCGCAAGAGTTCTCCACCTACCGCCAGTGGAAGCAGGTCTGTATGCCGAGCCAGGGTGGTCATGGCAGCAGCAGGGACTGGCTTTGAGTGAAGGGGTGACTGGGCCTAGGCATGACTTCCCTGCCTAGAGGAAAGAATGTCTGGAATGTAGGTGTTTCCCCAGCCCTCTGGCTGCAGCCGGTAGTTAGGTCACTGTCATGGGAATGCCTGGTTTTCATGTTATTTCCAAGAAAGGTTGGGCTGGGAGAGAAGGCACTTGTAGGAGATGGAATCTCTGGGTAGGAGTCATTTTCATTGGCTGCGGTGGAGCCTCCTAAAATGTACTGGGTGTCAATGAGGATGGGGCTGTCTCACTGCTTGGGCAGCTTCTACAACTCTGGGGCCAAGGCTAGAAACACACTGGAGGAGGAGAGAGGCTAGGATTAGAGGGCAACATTCCTTCCTGGGTTTGTAAATGCTTAGGTGCACCAAGAAACAGGATGGCCACAGTGATCCTGGCCCTTGTATGATGGGAAACTGAAGCATGGGTTGGGGGTTTACTGTGACTCACTAAATTCCATGCTGTCCCCCATGTCGATGTGTTGATTTGTGGACTGGAGACGCAAAGCAGGCGTGAGTGGGTTTAAAGGGGGAGGGAGGAAGTCTGTCTGTATATCCCCCGCCCCTCTTTTTTTTTTTTGTAAGACAGGGTCTCTATGTAGCCCTAGCTGACCTGGTACTCATAGAGATCTGTTTTTTGCCCTCACAGCTGACATTTCTTTCTTCAGCGGGGTCTTAGTGTGCAGCTCAGAATCGCCTCAGCCTCTCTAGTGCTAGGGTTATAGGTGTGCACCACCTTGCCCACAGGTATAGAGCAAGCTCTTTGAGGATGTTTTTAAGGGTACAGCTAGCACCGTCATGGGTGGTGGCAGGGAACCAGAGAGTTCTGTATGCCTCCTCCCTATATGGCTTATTCTTTTCCTTCTTACTTGAAATCTGGGGTGGTGGCCCTGACCTAGAAGTTAACATAATCCCAGCTAGCAGATAAGACCCATGCTCTATCTGTTCCACATACCAACCTACCTGTCACACTGTTGGGTCCTAGGGATCTATGCCTGCCCCCCCCAGAATCAGTGGCTAGCGTGCTGAGTAAGAGGGAAGCTGCGATGGCCACTGTTGGGAGTGTGAGCCAGCCAGTGAGTGATCCATCAGTTTTAAACTCTAGCTGGCTCAGAACACTTGGACTTAGCGTGTTGATTTTTGACAAGTGAATGGATTTGTTCACAAGAGAACCAAGGAATATTTTCCTTAGGAGGTTCTCTTGTTTTGGATTCAAAGTACCTCCTTCAAATAAGGAAATAATGTAGTTTAAAAGGCCCCTCCCCGCGACAGGGTCTCACTCTGTAGTTCGGGGTGGGTTGGAATGCCCTGTGTAGACCATCCTGGTTTTGAATTCATGGAGGTCCACCTGCCTCTACCTCTGGAGTGCTGGGATTAGAGGTGCACACCACCACTCCTGGCTAACTGTAACTAAAAAATAAAAAACAAAGTGCTGCTGAGTTGGACTGACCCATATTTTTCCCACAAATTCTCAAGCTGTTGAGATTAACTTTTAGGGTGGCAATAAGATCTGAAGGTGGTTCAGAATGCATGGGACAGCCATGGCCACCTCTGAACACCATCTAAGTGCTGTTTCCTGCTTTGTAACATGGAGGAAAGGATAGGCTGTGCCTCCTCGAGCAAGCTGCTGGAAAGGCCTCAGTAAAGCCTTTCCGTACCCCATGCCCCATCCTAGGGGAAGAAGCGCCCAGCTGCTTTGCATCCAGATGCTGCCCAGGGTCAGGGTCACTGAACTAGTAAAGCTGCCCTGGCCCTCAGCACCTGGTGGGAATCTGGGGTTAGTTATATCTGATTTCCCTGAGAGAGGGACTGGACTTGAAGTGCCTTCAGGTGCCCAAGAATAGTTGCCCTTGGCTCTTCCTGTCTCTGCAGCCTCCAGAGTGTTCCCTGGCAACGTTTCTGCCAAGTAGGCATTGTCTGCTCCTTCACTCTCGTCACCAGGTTGTTACAGGGCTAGTGCCACCACAGGGGATGGAGCAAGTAGCAGAGTTCCTAAGGGAATCTGGATTCCAATGCTATCCCCACATCTCAACAAGGATGGGGCTGAAGTCTAGTCCCAGGGACAGCCCTGCAGGGGAACCAAGCCGCTGGCCCTGGCTGTGGAACAAACTGGCCTTGGGAATGCTAGGGAAGAGCAACCACGCCGCCCTGCCTGCCTCTCTGAGATCTTCCTGGGGGGCCCTGGCTTCTAGGCAGCCTCTGGGAACCTAAGCCGTGGCTCTGCTATGTGGTAGGGGTCCCGCAGGCTGGCATATCCTTAGAGATAGGACATTGTGGGGCCCTGTGGAGAGCAGTTATTTCCCCATTGTGACAAGAGACTGGTGAGCCACATCTCAAGCTCTTTCTTTGGTTTTCTAGAAAATTGTGCAAGCAGGTGACAAGGACCTTGATGGGCAGTTGGACTTTGAAGAGTTCGTACATTACCTCCAAGATCATGAGAAAAAACTGAGGCTGGTGTTCAAGAGTCTGGACAAAAAGAACGATGGTGAGTTCGGCTTGTAGCTCCTCTGCTGGGAATACCTCCGGCTTACCAAGTGCCTAACCCTGCTCATGGCCCTTTTGTCACAGGACGAATCGATGCTCAAGAGATTATGCAGTCCCTGCGGGACCTGGGTGTCAAGATCTCTGAACAGCAGGCGGAGAAGATTCTTAAGAGGTGAGTGGGGGTGAGCTCTGTTTTCTGTGGGTGAACTCTGTTCTCTGTGGGTGAGCTCTGTTCCCTGGAATATGTTAGTGGCTTTTGGACTAATCCACGTGCTGTTCATGTTGACCTGCTGCCCTGAAACTTGTGCTGTGGTTTGGAAGGCTGAGTAAGAAGCCCTTTCCCAAAGCAGTCTTCGTAATCTGGAATTAGCCCATTTGCCAGTGACCCTTAAAATGACAAGATGAGTTGTGGGCATTTTGGGTTGGCAAGAAGTATCCCTGGGACACTTTCTCTGCCTGATGAAGAGGGGCTGGCACCATGTGTGGGCCTTGACTTGGGTTCTGCTAGGGCCTTGTTCTTCACTCTGTAGCCACATATGGCCAGAAAGATGGCTCCCTCGTGGGCAGAGGGCTTCCGGAAAGCTCAGCAAACAGAACAGTTGTACCCGGCTGTGCTGCGAGGCAGCTGGCCACAGGGACAGCAGCCCTGGAGCCCACTTCTTCTCCTCACTGAAAGTTGTGTTCGCATGCTGTGTGGCCCCCAGTGTCCTTGGGTGTACGCTTGCTTTACTAACCTGCTCAAAGCATTTATTTGTGTTGTTTCTCCTCTCTCCTCTGCATCCTCCTTTGTCTGTCTGTCAGAATACGAACGGGCCACTTCTGGGGCCCTGTCACCTAGTAAGTATCTGTCACCCTGTGACTGCCTCCCTCCCTGATCAGAATGGGGTTTTGTGGAAAGTGGGGTGTTGAGCCACCTTAGCCTTTCTCAGGGCACACAGGCGCCTTCGGTTTCCTTGGTGGCCATGGCACCTGCCTTCATCCCGTCTAGTGGGCACACAGGTGCAGATGGCGTGTGGCACATGGAGTGACCATGATTCTGCCTTGCAGCATGGACAAGAACGGCACGATGACCATTGACTGGAATGAGTGGAGGGACTACCACCTGCTGCACCCCGTGGAGAACATCCCTGAGATCATCCTGTACTGGAAGCATTCGACGGTGAGGCCACACCCCCTGTCCACTCGGGCAGTCACCTTCATGTGCGTCAGTCATCCCTTCCCCACGCAGGCCTGAGCCAGTGAGATGTAGTTCCCCCTTAGTCAACCATATGTTCCTCCTCTTTCTGACCAGCCTGAACAGCGTGACTGTCCCCTTGCCCTTCACTGGGCATACCTTCCTATCCCCGCATGCCTCTGTCCTTCAGGTTCTTTCCAAATATCTCTCTTCCCAGTGCCGCCGCTTCTCCCAGAAGCATACAGTCTGTCCTCCTTGGGATGGTGGCAGAAACCTTGCTACAGATGCCTCCGCCTTCCCTTGGTTTCTTTTTTAGTATCATTTTCTCTCTATGACAAAAATAGCATGTCCTAGCTGAGACAGAGAAGCATCGTGAGTTAAAAAGGCCAGCCTGGGCTACAGAGTTAGACTCTGGCTTCTTGGTTTTTGTTTTTAATAAGCATGCTCTATAGGGGCCTTAGACTCTGGCTTCTTGGTTTTTGTTTTTAATAAGCATGCTCTATAGGGGCCTACATAGCTGTTTCTCACTCTCTCAACGTGGTTCCATGGTTAGAAACGTCATTCTGAGCTAACCCCCTGCCCAAGACTTCTGCTGTCCTTGGCTGGGCTGCCCCTGCTTATCCACCCTGCTCCTACGGTGCCAGATCAGGGCTTCCTGGGTGAAAGGAAGTGGCGATTCTAGGGCTCAGAACAGCTGGCCTGTCTCTGACCTGAGCCCAGAGGTCAGCAGAGCTGACTGGGATCAGTTCCAGAGAGAGGGTATTAACGCAGGCAGACAGAATTCTGCTTGCTGAGGCCTTGCATAACATTCTGTCCTGCCAGCAATCCAGTTCCACATCAGGTTGCAAGGTTTCTGTTCATCTTCCCCGATCCTTGTGGTCCACCCCTGCAGTCCTTGCCGGAAGATGTAAGAGCCACCTGTAAAAGGGCAACCCAGCAGCTTTGTGATGCTCTCTCCTCGTCTAGATGATTTACAAGGTCAAGAGCTGCAGCCACAGTCAGAGCCAAGGGAAAGAGTTCCAGTGAGTTTTCAGTGCCTTCCATCCTCACCATTAGTGTGGCCACTTGAAAGGGTGGAAGGCAGTGACTGTCTCCAGATGACTGGCAGCTTGGCCACGGTGTCCTGGGTAAAACTGACGTCTCTGCTTGTCTTCCCCATAGATCTTCGATGTTGGCGAGAATCTGACAGTCCCGGATGAGTTCACGGTGGAAGAGAGGCAGACGGGGATGTGGTGGAGGCACCTGGTGGCCGGAGGTGGGGCAGGGGCCGTTTCCAGAACCTGCACTGCTCCCCTGGACAGACTGAAGGTGCTCATGCAGGTGAGCAGATTTCTCCCTGTGCTTCACTGGTGGCTCAACTTCCTCTCCTTCCCTCATCTGGGGCCCTGCTTTAAAAACCCAGACTTCCCACCCCGGCAATGGAGTTAATGCTTTGCAGGCTCCAGGAGATCCAGGCCTAGGTAACCTCTGCATTTAGCTGCTCTAACTTTATCTGAGAGACATAAGCTGTGCATCACCCTACATGGGCTTGTTAGTTGAAGTGTGGCGGGACCTGGGTTCTTTCAGCACATCTCAGAATGCCTAGGGCACCTCATGGGAGGCAGGATGAGCTGATCCTTTCATGACCCAGAGCAGTGCTTCTACCTGGCCTAGGCATGCAATTCCACGTCCACAGGGCAGAGATAAGCCTATCTGATGTCAGGGAAGCATTGTGAAATGACCCACGTGTGGACACTCATGGACTTTGGTGTCTGTCTGAACAGTGACCAGTTACCCCATTTTGTGCCAGGAGCCCTGGCCTGCCCAGAAGCCCCCTGAACAGACTGAACGTGCTCATGTAGATGAGTAGGAAATTGGTTTTTACCCGTGGTTATTGGTGGCTCGGCTTTCCTCGCTTCCTCAGCTTGGGCCCTGCTTTAAAAGCCCAAACACCCGAGCTAATGGAGTTGGAGTTAGTGCTTCGTGGGCATCGCCCTACCCCCTTGGCATAAGTAGGTGGGTCTCACCCTGTCTTCCAGAAATAGACAGACTTAGAGCTTTAGGCTTAATCTAGCCTGGACTGGCCCTGCTCCAGCTCTGTGGTCCAAAGAAGCCATTTCTCCTTCCAGAGCCTCTGAGAAAACAGAAATTTGAACAGTTCCTTCTCACTTTTGTTTTGACAGAATTCCAGGGATGTATATGTAGAGATTAAGAGCTGTCCTGTCTGGGTTGATGGGCATACTTCCAGTGCCAGTACTTGGGAAGATTGAAAATTTAAGGCAGGCTGTCAGTATAAGAGCCTGTCAATAATAATAATAATAATAAAAATAAAGCAAAAACATCCAGCCATGGCTGCTGATCATCAGGTTGCTAAGTTATTCCTCAGATTACTCAGAGGGAAGCGCCTCCCTGGTGTTCGGAAAGCACCAGGCTCCTCCCAGAGCGAACGGTGGCAGTCCTCAGTCCTGCTGCGCTCCTTTGACCTCGACTCTCCCCTCAGGTCCATGCCTCCCGCAGCAACAATATGTGCATCATAGGCGGATTCACACAGATGATTCGAGAGGGGGGGGCCAAGTCTCTCTGGCGGGGCAATGGCATCAACGTCCTCAAAATTGCCCCTGAGTCAGCCATCAAATTCATGGCGTATGAGCAGGTGAGGACCTGGGAGAGGGTTGCCAGATAGTAGCTAGAGGCCTGGGGTAGGAGTGAGTGGACACCATCTCTGGAGGCCCGGGGTAGCGGTGGGGGGATACCATCTCTGGAGGCCCGGGGTAGCGGTGGGGGGACACCATCTCTGGAGGCCCGGGGTAGCGGTGGGGGGACACCATCTCTGGAGGCCCGGGGTAGCGGTGGGGGGACACCATCTCTGGAGGCCCGGGGTAGCGGTGGGGGGACACCATCTCTGGAGGCCCGGGGTAGCGGTGGAGGGACACCATCTCTGGAAGCCTGGGGTAGGGGTGGGGGGACACCAGCTCTCCTACCACTCCTTCCATCTGGGGACAGCATAAAGTAGCCTCAGAGTCACGGGTTTCATCCAAAGCTAACTGGCTGTGAGGGGAAGGGTGGGGCCAGGAGAGGCGCCATGGCCCCAGGTGCATCCCCTTTGTTTTTCCTGTTTTAGATGAAGCGCCTCGTTGGCAGTGATCAGGAGACGCTGAGGATCCATGAAAGGCTTGTGGCAGGCTCCTTGGCTGGGGCCATTGCCCAGAGTAGTATCTACCCAATGGAGGTAAGGGCCACCTGGGTCCTGGAGTGGGCAGTACCCAAGGGGCACAGAGAGGAACAGGCTGTACTCATGGTTGCTATCACTCTCCTTGCAGGTGCTGAAGACCCGAATGGCCCTGCGGAAGACAGGCCAGTACTCGGGCATGCTGGACTGCGCCAGGAGGATCTTGGCTAAAGAGGGTATTGCTGCCTTCTACAAAGGCTACATTCCCAACATGCTGGGGATCATCCCCTATGCTGGCATCGACCTCGCTGTCTATGAGGTGAGGCCCTATGGGGCATAGACCCTAGGACCAGAGAGTGGAGCTCAGCACCTGCCTGGTACCCCACCCTCCCTGGTAGAGATGCTTAGATCAGAGACAGCAGTCCACTGTCCACTGCAGTGGTCTCGCATTGCCCTGCACCTCTTGCACAGCGGGTTCAGACTCAGTCCCAGGTCTATCCTTTTAGGGTCCAGAGGTTCAGCAGGCAGATCCCAGAACACAGTGACCATTGGGCGCTCACAGATCTCAGACTCCAGACCGCAAAGGCCAGGTGCTCTGCATGGGAACATAGTGCTCCCTCTATCCTCATCCTTCTCCCTGCCCTAGCCAAGAAGCCCAAGTAACAGCAGATGCAAAAGGCCAGCTAGTCAGGAGTTCAGTAAGGCCCAGGCCAAGCGAATCGGTTTACACTGGCCTCTCAGATCTCATGTGATAGGAAACAGCTTTCCTGTGGGCTCAATGGCTGCCCCACCCCAGCATGTCTCTCCCACACTGGCTCTTTAAGGCTCACCTCTGGTCCTGCTTGCCCCTAGACACTGAAAAATACCTGGCTACAGCGCTACGCAGTGAACAGCGCAGATCCTGGTGTGTTTGTTCTCCTGGCCTGTGGCACTATCTCTAGTACCTGTGGCCAGCTGGCCAGCTACCCACTGGCCTTGGTCAGGACTCGGATGCAGGCACAAGGTAAGGTCCTGTGCTGACTTCCATGTCCCTAGTAGTTGGGGTAGCTGGCAGGTGGCATCTAACCCGTGACTTCTGTCCCACAGCCTCCATTGAGGGTGCGCCTGAGGTAACCATGAGCAGCCTCTTCAGACAGATTCTCCGGACTGAAGGGGCCTTTGGGCTATACCGGGGGCTGGCCCCCAACTTCATGAAGGTGATTCCAGCTGTGAGCATCAGCTACGTGGTGTACGAGAACCTGAAGATCACCCTGGGTGTGCAGTCTCGGTGACGGGAGGGTGGCGGACTTGGTGATCCTGGGCTTCAGCCCAGGGTGTGCAGCCATCTCATTCTGTGAATGTGCCAACACTAAGCTGACCTACCCAAGCTGTGAAACCCAGGATGCCACAAGAGAAGGGCAGGGGCTGGCAAGCTCTGGGCTGGTCCTGCTGACCTGGCAGGCCCTTGTGTCCCTTCCAAGGAAGACCTGTGGACATTCCTTGGGGTCCAGAGGTCAGTAGGATGTAGGCTCCTGCACCTAGAGACAGGACGTTTCCTGCAATGCCTGCCAAATAGTGAGCTTGGAGACCAGCTTAGTCCTTCCATCTAGTTCTCGCAGCCAGACCTCGGCCACACCCTCCCTCTGGTCCAAAGAGCATTCCTGTGTCCCCTCAAGTCTTTCCCGTGGATGTGCTGTGGTAGGAAGTAGACCTCTCCCCACTTCTTCTTGTCCCTCTCCCCTCATTGCTGCTCCTCCAAACCTGTTTCCCAAGCTGTAGCATTCCCGTGGACCTGTGGTACAGGAAGCTGAAGGAGTACCCCTTAATGTCCTTGCCTCCTCTGAGCTCACCAGCAAAGCTGTGTGGATGGGCCTGGGGACTCAGGCACTGGCTGCCTGACACGGTGGTGCATGGCTTTGCTGAAATCTAGGACCTGGATCCCAGAGGATCTGTGCTACCTGCATGGGCCTAATGTCCTCTGAGCTGTCCCTAAACCCCGTCAGGACTGGCACCAGATCGTGACCACACTTACTGTTCCAGTCTGTGGTGTGAGGGTGGGGCAGGGTGTCTGTCCCGGTGTGCTGTCCTGATGAGAAGGAAAGGATGCTGAAGGCCTTAATTATGTCTGAACTGGATAAAGGCTGTGGTTCGGAAGGACAAGCTGGACAAAGCACGTGTACAGCACTTACAGAGAGAGCCGGAAGGAAGTGGTTTGGCTGCTTTAAAGTCTGTTCTGAGGTCCTGTGGGCCAAGTGGGACCAGCCTCACATTCCACACGGCATATCACACTGCTTGGAGCCTATTTATTTTGTATTTATTTGAACAGAGTTATGTCCTAACTATTTTTATAGATTTGTTTAATTAATAGCCTGTCATTGTCAAGTACATTTTTTATTCATATTTATGTTCGTGGTTGATTGTCTCTTCCCATCACCGCCTGGTGGGGGGTGGGGAGATGAGGTGGAAAAGTGGCCACAGAGTGACTTTACCTGCTGCCTACACTGATGGTGTGTCTGTCCAAAGAAATTCCTCTCCCAGCTGGAAACAGAAGGAAAGACACAAGGGAGGACCCTTACTGTGGGGAGCATCCCCTGGCAGGCATAGGGTGGGAAAGGTTGGGAGGATTTCTTTATTTTACCCTTCTGGAATGACAAGGCAGTGGGGTGCCTCACTGGTGTGGGTGTGAGGGTGAGGACCAAAGGACTGGACGGCCTGCCCTCCCCAGCCTGTGACCTGGGCTCCCTTCTGGCCCATGGCTGCCCTTGCTCAATGAGTGGCCAGCTCCACTTGGCAATTGAACCTCCATTGTTCCAGAACAGTCCGATGAGGAGAATCCAAACACGGTGCAGAGATCAATGCAAAAGGACCGTCTGCATAGTCTACCGCTGTAACTGGAGTTGTCAAAGGCAAGCAGCCTTCTAATAAAGTTGCTTCAAATGTGATAATGGAGCCAGGGTTTTCTGTTCCGGGCTTGGGTGTTGGGGACATTGACATTTTCCTTATTCAGTGCCTACACAGCTTACACCTCGGCTGCGGGAAGCACCTCGTCTTTAGTGGGTTTGGGGTTCTTCCATGTGTGGTGTGGCCTCCCCTTCCTGCTGGGAGCTTATTCTTCACGTGGTCTCCAGGCCTCCCGGGTGCAGAGCCTTCAGCTCCTGTCTCATGCGTCAGAGCCTTGTTAGAGGATGACTGTGAGTCCTGCAGCCACAAGCTCATCCTCTGTTGGAACAGCTGTCGGGCATTGAAGTGTCGCATGTCAAAGGCCAGGTCCTGGCTTTCCTCCATCTTTGACCCCATCCATCTGACTTAAGTCAAACCCCTCCGGGTTGTCAGCAGCACCCTACTTCCTTCCTCTTGCTCTACTCCAGTCCATCGGAGAATCCCATCTTCCTTCAGGTGCGCCTAGGACTCCAGTGCTCACCTCAGCCACCCTGCTGCCGATTGCTTCTCACCTGGGCTCTCGCCAAAGCTCTCAAGTCTGTCTCCCTCTTCCTCTGTTTTTGCCTGAGTGATTCACAGACCTAAAACCTTAAACTCTGGTCCCTGTCACCCAAAACTTTCCATCAAAGTGACAAGCCACAGGCTTGGAGGAACCAATGTATTAAATCCTGTAACTCAAGATGTGGATCGAACTTAAAAAACGACACTTAGGGGCTGAAGAGATGGCTCAAGTGGTAGGCTCAGCAGGCAGACTTGCCAGTCTGATGACCTGATTTCAATTCCTAGCACCCACTTGGTGGAGGGAACCAACTCCCACAAGTTGTCCTCTGGCCTCCACATTCACACCCAGACACATAAACCCAAGGAACAAATTAATAAAAATGGTTACAGCCTAGAGCACAAACCAGCAACTGTGTCAGGCAGCACTACTACCAAAGGGCCAGACTCATAAGTGGTATATACCCACAAACTCATGTTACCTGAATTAAGAAAAAAATTTAATTAAAAGAAAATCACTTAACTGGGCATGGTGGGTTCATGCCTTTAGTTCCAGCACTTAGGAGGCAGAGGCAGGCAGATCTTTGAGCTCAAGGCCAGTGAGAAAACCCCGTCTCAGAAGGGGAAAAAAGACACCCCACAGGCTGATGGCTCATTAGGAAAGACGCTTGCTGCCAAGCCCAAGGACATGAGCCCCACGTGGTAGGAGAGAACCGATTTCCTTAGGTTGTCCTGTGACCCTCACAGTAGACTGGTGCACACATGCACCCACACAAATACAACTTTGTTACAAATGATGTGTCACAAAGAAGGGGGCACAATAAAGGGCCCTGTTCTGTGAGTCGTCAGGAAAGACAGAGGTGCCAGCGTGCACACAAACAAGCGTTAGAATGACTTTGAAGGAACCACATGCAGGCCTACTGAGAATGTGGAGCAGCCTACCGGGATGCCTCCAGCAGCAGAAAGGTCAAGTGTAAGCGTTCCAATGGAGCCACCCTTTGTTGACAACGGGAGTGAAGTTAATCAGTGTCCCTTGTGGACCAGCAGATCTGTCCCCAGGTATATACCTGTCTCCCGCTGAGGGAAAAAAAAACCTGGGTAGCACACCTTTAACCCCAGCACTCAGGAAACAGAGGCAGGTGGATCTTTGAGTTAGAGGCCAGCCTGGTCTACAGAGTAGGTTTCAGGACAGCCAGGGCTGTGTAGTGAGACCTTGTCTCAAAAACAAAATTAGGGTATGGTGGTTTAGTCCTGCTGTCCCAGCACCGGGAAGCGTGTGTGTGTGTGTGTGTGTGTGTGTGTGTGTGTGTATGTGTGTTGAAGACCAGTTTGTAGTAAGACCATCAAAATTCAAAATTATAGGTCTGGAGAGATGGTTCAGCGATTACAACACTGGCTGCTCTTCCACAAAACCAGTTCAATTTCCAGCACCCTCCTGGCAGCTCACTATCATGTGGGTTCAGGACATCCAACATCCTGTTCTGGCCTCCAGAGGTACCAGACATGCAAGATGAACAGGCGGGCCAAACACTCATACACATATAAAATTTAAAAGATAGTAAAACAAGACAATTTGGGGTGGGCACAGTAGCAAATGCCTTTAATCCCAGCACTGAGGTAGGCAGATCTCTGTGAGTTCAAGGCCAGCCTGGTCTACAAAGTGAGTTTCAGGATAGCTAGGGCTATGCAGAGAAAGCCTGTCTGGAAAAATCAAAAACAAGGGATTTGAGAGACAGCTCCTTGGTTAAAAGCACTGACTGCACAGGAAAGTTGCCAGGAAGCCAGGAAGCTTGTCTTCAGCATTCCCTTGCTCCGCCAGTACTGAGCCTGTGTGCTGAGGAGGCCCGGAAAGTGTCTTGACTCCGGGGCTCCACACGTCAGAGTAGGGCCTAGTTGTTGGTTTGTTTGTTTTTTCTTTTGTGTGCTTGCTGTGTAACACAGAGCTGGCCTTGAACTCACAGTCCGTCCTCCTTCCTCTTCCCAACTGCTGGGATTATAGGCTTATAGCACCAGTTTTCTTTTTCCATAACAAAAGCCTCTGAAATACTTTTTTTTTTTTTTTTTTTAAAGACAGGGTTTCTCTGTAGCTTTGGAATCTGTCCTGGAACTCACTCTAGTTCAGGCTGGCCTTGAACTCACAATGATCTGCTTGTCTCTGCCTCCAGAGTGCTGGGGTTAAAGGCTTGTGCCACCACTACCTGGATTCCTCTGAAACACTTTCAAGTTTCAGTCATAAAAACCTAACTGGGCCTCTTCCTAGTCCCCCTGCAGCCAGCCCCACTGGCTGTGCAGGGCCCCGGCACACACACACAGCCTGGAGCACCTGAATTTCCCGATGGGTGTGGTTCAGCCTCCTGGGCGGAGGGAACCTTGCAGCTGTCTCTCTGCGGTCTTCCTCCAATGCCCTTGATGGCCCTGAGCACCAAGTGGCCAGGCCACGTTGCTATGGGGATGGCAGGAAACAGCTCAGGGAGTCCAGCACACTCATGTGCCCAGATGTGGAACTGGGATGCGCCACCAGTACATAGTGTCCTTTAACTTTGGGTCCTTCTAGAACCTCAGGACGTCACCTTGTTTAGGAGTAGGATCGACGAAACTGTCATTGCAGTTTGGGGACCTTTCTCCACAGAAACCATAGCAACCAGTCGGTCAAGTGGGGAAGTTCAGGCAAGAGTTTCATGGGACCTGGCTCCTGAGGAGGAAGGGAGGAGCAGACCTTATGGCTGCCCTAGGTGGGTTAACAGCCCGGTGCCTAGCTCCTCACCTGGTCAGAAGGACTTCAGGTGCTCAGGCTACCTCCACTTCAGCAAGGACTCTGGAGTTCACTTGCCCTCTGTCCTCTGTGGTGGTTCCCAGTGTGTCAAGTCTATTCGAGATCAGGAGGGGTCCCCAAACCCAGTGATTAGCGATTATCCTTACAAGAATAAAAAGTGGCCCCGTGTAATCCTAGCATTTGAGAGGCCGAATTAAGCTAAGCCAAGATATATATAGACCCTGCTTTAAATTTCATTGCAACATCTCTTTTGTGTGGTGTGTGGGTGTGTGGTTGTGTTTGTGTGCATGCGGGAGGTCAAAGGACAATGAGCCTGTTCTGTCTTTTCATACCAGGGTCCTGGGGATTACAAGCAGGTCCTCAGGATTAAGAGCACTTTTCCTGCTAAGTCACCTCGATGACCTTGATACTCTAAAGAGGGAGGAGTTGGGACAGAGGTGCTCAACTCTCCGTGAAGAAGGTAAGTTAGGGGGCAATGGGTACTAGCTAAGAAACACCGAGGATCCTGCTGGCAGCCACCATTGGAGACCAGTGTGAGAATTAGTGTCTGTGGCTTTTGTCATCCAAGGTTCTGGGAATTGGCTAGGACACCAATACACTACTTACTTCAGGAATTTGTTACCAGGGTAACAGGTGAATCATCCCCTTACCTTTGGGTCCTGATTGGCTCTCCCATGTGCCCAAGCCTCGTCTTCCAAGCCTTCCAGCTACTGAATTGCTTTCAGGCACAGCCTCTCAGCCCCTCTGTCTCACGTGTTTGGGTTTGACCTTGAGACCTCTGCTACCTGACTAAGCCGGCCTTGTCTCCCTGCCCTGTTGCCTGCTGGCACAGGTCACTTCACTATTATTCCACTCACTCCGCGCTGGGGGCTTTGTTTCCTGCCCCTGCCCATGCCTAGAGCCCAGAACTGTTGACACTCACGTGTGGTTTGGATTATATTGCCCCTGGATGGCCTTTAAATTGGCTTACACAGTAAAGTAGTGCACTGTGGTATGGTCTTGAGCAAGGTCTGCATTGCCAAGTGTCTTTCTCCACTAGATGGACATGGGACCTTTCTTACAGCCCTGAAGGGACATACATGCCTCAGTTCATATAAAGGAGAAACTGACCTCATTCACCATCGTGGCCTGTGCTCTGCTGTCCCCAATCCAGATTTCACCAGTCTGAGCGGACTGGAATGTAGGGGAA